AACATAGCAAAAAGAAAAACAAAAAAAAACAACAAAAAAAAAAAACTAATTCAGCACGAATTATAGCTGTATTATACGGCATAATACGCAGAAGAGTTTGATTGTCGCCTGATGGATGACGTCAGCATCATTGTGGTAGATCGGAATGGCTGAGGTGATGCGGTACATGACATTCGCAAGAAGTTTGAAGCTTGTTATCCTGATAACCTGACCCTGAAACGAACTGACAACGGATCAGGTGTCTAGGATTTCTTGGGTACACAGATGAGAGTTAGTGAAGGTCAGTCATTTGTGGGCTGTGTCCAAGTCCCGTACAACAAAAGGAGTGTGTGGGACGATGGTACTCTGGAATTCAAGAATGGGCAATCTTTCTACTCATAGGGAAGCAAGATGCAGAAGAGCGCAGTCGTGGCTAGTTACCTTCATCGAATTGATCAGAACACTAATTTGCGTGAAGATATACCAATAAAGGTATTAACACTGACTCCTGAACTACGAATTAAGAACTTCCCCAGGAAATTCGTGGAAAGAGTTCTGAAGAGATTCGCTAGAGGATGCGACCCGATTTGGACAACGATCTGCGCATGGCTGTACTGATATGCGCAGGACGTAGATAGGATGTGACCTTACTGCTGCTTTTTTCTTCTTTTTTTTTTTCTTGTTCATTTATTTTTGTTTCCCATTTTCATTTTTGGATCGGTTCGGCTTCATGTTCGTCCGTTATCTTCTTTGTGATAGCGCATGGCTGTAGTGATATGCGCAGGACGCCTATAGGCTGTGACTTTACGTTCGTTTCTTTTTCTTTTTCTTGCTTTCACTGGTTTTGATTGCCTCGGCTTCATAATTGTTTGTTATAGCTTGTTGGCTTGACATCTATTGGATAGTGGCAGGGCATATTAGAGTTAACTGTTGGATTGTAGTATTGTTTGCACTTCTTAGAAGATAGGGCTTATTAGAAGAGGTTAGTTGCAGGTACTGTGGTCCAACGCAGCTTCGGGTCTGCTACTCAGCACGATACCTTCCGTACGAAGTATCGGTTTCGGGTTGACATCCAACCTTGGAACCCTGTTTGGCCCACCGAGGCCCTTAGTTCTATACTGAGTTAGACCCCAGCTGCACCTCTGTCAGTGACAGAGCTGTCTCATACGAGATGTCTGTTGACCCGGTATTGGTTCCGTGGTTTTCAGGAGCCCGGCGGGATTTGTTACCAGTCTGATCGGCGGTACCGATAGTCTTGTTTGGGACCACGGTACGCAATGCTCGTATGTATGTGTTTTTGCCAATTGCACACCACTCGGTACCGTTGGAATATATAGGTAATGATTGCATAGCAAAAACCCTCTTGGAAGAGCGATTTCGTTAAAACGTTCATATTTTTTTTTTGCGCGAAATTGAAAGTCCTTTTTTCAAGCAAATTTGTATGTATTTTATCAAGTATGTTAGGGGGGGTAAGGGGGTAAGGCGGTAAGGGGGTAAAAGGGTAAGGGGGTAAGGG